TGGAATTTATTCTGTATACACCTATCATATACTTGGATATATATATATAATTATTGTCATATATATATGTATATATATATATATATATATATATATATATATATATATATACATGATCTCTTATTTAAAGATCATTTTATCCTGGTATGACAATAATTTTATATATATATATATATATATATATATATGTAAGCAAATATATGGATATAGATCTGACAGTATGAAGAAAAACAAACAAAAATCTTAATATGCAATTATGCTGTATTAATGTATAAATGTATGCTGTATAAAGTCAACGTCGGACGTTTCGGTCTATTTTAGACCATCATCAGGATATATTCATTAAACATAATTAACATTAGAACATATAAAATTCAACATGAAAAGACGATGGACATAAGAGCACAACTAATCCAAACAGATAACTGAAATTTTTATATAAGATCAGCGATGTGATCATATTTAAACGGAATGCTGATCTTTAAATAAGAGGTCATGTATATATATATATATATATATATATATATAATATAATTATTGTCATACTAGGATAAAATGATCTTTAAATAAGAGAACATGTGTATATATATATATATATATATATATATATATATATAAATTATTGTCATACTAGGATAAAATGATCTTTAAATAAGAGAACATGTATATATATATATATATATATATATATATATAATAATATTCAAAGAGGATCATATTTATTAAAAAATGGATACAAAATTATCACAGCGATTTAAAAAAAAAAAAAATTGCTGTGATAATTTTGTATCCCTTTTTTATGAATGAAATATGATCCTTTTGAATTATCATATATATGTATGTGTGTGTATATATATATATATACACACACACAGGGATAAAGTGTATGTAAATATAAAAGTGAACATTAAAGTCACCACTCCGAGGCAATAGCCTTTTTCATGCTAAATGCCATTATCACTTTTATGTACGCCCACATAGGTATATCTACATATATATATATATATATATATACACATATATGTGTAAGTCTCTGTATGTGTTTATGTGTATCTTTTTAAAATGAGACTCGAATGAGCCCATTTTGTAATTCGGCTTTTATTGCCTTTGAAGTTGGTTCACTGTTTAGTGTTGTCTGCAGGCTGGGGAGACAGGAGTGAACACAATGGTAGAGACTGGAATGATTGTAAATGCTAGTCTGTGCCATGTAATGCAGATCAGCTGCTGATCGATTAAAATCGACAAAATCTCTTATTTGTGTCGAATGCTTTTATAGGTGTTAAGTGTTTCTCGAGGGATGTAATGATGAACAATTTTATGGCAGGCTTTATCTTATTTCCAACAGACATGCTGTTAATGAGACATCATTCTGGTGGGCTCATTGATGCTAATGACCCCTTTTACATTTCTCTGCGTCTTGCAAACAAGATAAAAAGATTGAAATTATAAAATCTGTCTTAACTAGAAATAACCATCGTTTTCAGACATTATTTTTCAGGTAGTGTAATAATGTGCAATGTCATTAATTTTATATCACAATCCCAGTCTATTTGGCCCCCCCTCTTGGCTGTACCGACAAGATCCAAAGGAATACAGGGCATTAAATTTAGAGCCATTTTGGCTGCAGTAGTTACTGGAAAGTTGTCAGTCCTGACAGCCAACTGCCTTCAGGACTCTATTTGGGATTTTCCATAGCTTTTTCCAAGTTTGGATATGACCGCAAGTCAGTGGAGGTTTAAAATCATAGTTTCCTTTTCCCTAGACAGATAGAAAAACACATATATTCTTAAATGCCTATAATTGATAACAGAAGCCATTTGTTTATACCAACGGCTTCCCATACTTAATACTTCTTGTTTTCGCTCTCGTGTTGTCATGTGTGACATCACGAGCTGTGACGCGATTTTCGCTTCCGCGTCTCGTGTACACGTGTTCGTCGTTGCTTTGAAATTTTTCATGCGAGAAAAACAGACTATCATTATTATTTCGTCCATGTATTGGTTGATATATTGAAAAGTAATTGTCATCTTTGATAATGGCTTATGTAAGCCAAAAGCTTAGATTGGATTTAAACATGTATCAATATGGTGATTTCCTTTCATCTTTAAATGATAATGTTATTAAGCTTATCAGTCAATATGAAAGGAAATTACTTAAAATAAACAGTCAAAACTTGTCTATATTATTTAATGAAACATGCATCAATGAAAAATTGCTGCCTAATATATATATATATATATATATATATATATATATATATATATTCTGTTTATACATTATTTGCATACATACATATATTTAAGGAAATTCTCTGTTTATGATAAACAATATTAACTCCATTTAATGACCTGAATATCCAAGAAATTTCATAGAAAATATGTGTCTTCTGACAGGAATTGAATCTGTGTCCTACACAGAACCATCATATGGGAAATTTGTTGTTTAAAAACAGTAATTTGATTTTGCTAATCAGAAACTTTCTCCATAGCTAAGTGGTATAGCATATCAGGCTATATGATGGTCCCATGTAGGATACAGTTTCAATTCCTGTTGGAGGATGAATATTTTCT